TTTCTACATTTTTTTGTTGATTTATTTTGTTTTGTTTTTTTGAATGTCCAGAGGACCAGATTTAACTTTTTTTAGATATTTTAAATAATGTTTCATATTAGGTTATCTACTTTTATTCAAAGGAAATAATCTTGAAATATAATTTCTTTGAATTAAACTTTTGGATTCTATTTATTGCATTTATGATTCAATGCAGCAAAATAAATTTTAAAGGTTTATTTACATAAGGACTTTAATTGCTGGCTGTCTGGCCCATGAACTGTTGGCTTTCAGTAACTGTGGCCCCCTGGGTAATTTAGTTGAATAGCCCTGTGTTGGGCATTGTCTGTACACAAAGGCAAAACAAATGTGATTCAACTGGGCACTTCAACAACGGTGAGTTCTGGGTCCTTATCTATTAAAGGGAGAAAGGTTATCCCAAAGACCTTTTTAGGCTTTGTGTCATGTGAACTGAACTGCAATTGTTCACTCAAAAAAATAAACAGACTTGCTTAAAATGTTTTGTTGTTTTGGTTTGTTTTTCTCATCTATGTAGCTCTGGTTACTTGAAGGCCAAGCAGTACATGGAGGAGGAAAACTATGATAAAATCATCAGTGAATGCACCAAGGAGATTGAGTCAGGAGGCCGGTACACTGCAGAGGCGCAGCTGCTGCGAGCCACATTCTACCTACTGATTGGTAACGCTACAGCTGCTCAGCCTGACCTGGATCGGGTCATCAACATGAAAGATGCTAATGTGAAGGTATATGCTTTTGTTTTTCAATCAAAGCAATTTAATAAATGAACAAGCTATTAGTAAGATTTAAAGGCCTTACAAACAGCTGACTTCTATGGTTTATCTACAAATAAATCCTTAATAAATTTGCCTGTTAAATTGTGCCTAGGTGGAGTTCAAAAGATGTCCATCCATCCATCCATCCATTTTCTTCCGCTTATCCGGAGTCGGGTCGCGGGGGTAGCAGCCTAAGTAGGGAGGCGCAGACTTCCCTCTCCCCAGCCACTTGGGCCAGCTCTTCTGGGGGAATCCCGAGGCGTTCCCAGGCCAGCCGAGAAACATAGTCCCTCCAGCGTTTCCTGGGTCTTCCTCTGGGCCTCCTTCCGGTGGGACGTGTCCGGAACACCTCACCAGGGAGGCGTCCAGAAGGCATCCTAAACAGATGCCCAAGCCACCTCAACTGGCTCATCTCGACGTGGAGAAGCAGCGGCTCTACTCTTGAGTCCCTCCCAGATGATCGAGCTTCTCACCCTGTCTCTAAGAGAGAGCCCAGACACCCTGCGGATAAAACTCATTCTCAAAACCCCTTCCCATGGGCTCACCACCTGTGGGAGAGGCCAAAGGGGTCGGGTGCAATGTGGGATGGGTGGTGGCCGAGGGCGGGGACCCTGGCGGTCTGATCCTCGGCTACAGAAGCTGGCTATTGGAACGTGGAATGTCACCTCACTGGTGGGGAAGGAGCCTGAGCTGGTGTGTGAGGCTGAGAGGTTCCAGCTAGAAATAGTTGGACTCACCTCTATGCATGGCTCTGGCTCTGGAACCAGTTTCCTTGAGAGGGGCTGGACACTCTTCCACTCTGGAATTGCCCCTGGTGAGAGGCGCCAAGCAGGAGTGGGCATACTTATTGCCCCCCAACTTGGTGCCTGTATGTTGGGGTTCACCCCGGTGAATGAGAGGGTGGCTTCCCTCCGCCTACGTGTGGGGGGACGGGTTCTGACTGTCGTTTGTGCTTATGCACCAAACGGCAGTTCAGATTATCCACAATTTTTGGAATCCTTGGAGGGGGTACTAGAAAGTGCACCTCTCGGGGACTCCCTTGTTCTGCTGGGGGACTTCAATGCTCATGTGGGCAATGACAGTGAGACCTGGAGGGGTGTGGTTGGGAGGAACGGCCCCCCCTTATCTGAACCAGAGTGGTGTTCTGTTGTTAGACTTCTGTGCTCGTCATGGATTGTTAATAACGAACACCTTGTTCAAGCATAAGGGTGTCCATATGTGCTCTTGGCACCAGGACACCCTAGGTCGCAGTTCGATGATCAACTTTGTCATCGTGTCATCTGATCTGCGGCCACATGTCTTGGACACTCGGGTGAAGAGAGGAGCTGTCCACTGATCACTACCTGGTGGTGAGTTGGCTCCGATGGTGGGGGAGGATGCCGGTCAGACGTGGCAAACCCAAACGTATTGTGAGGGTTTGCTGGGAACGTCTGGCAGTCTCCTGTGAGAAGGAGTTTTAACTCCCTCCTCCGAGAGAACTTCGAACATGTTCCAAGGGAGGCGGGGGACATTGAGTCTGAGTGGACCATGTTTCGTGCCTCTATTGTCGAGGCGGCTTACCAGAGCTGCGGCCGCAAGGTTGTCGGTGCCTGTCGCGGCGGCAACCCTCGAACCCGATAGTGGACACCTTCGGTGAGGGATGCTGTCAGGCTGAAGAAGGAGTCCTATAGGGCCTTTTTGACCTGTGGGACCCCGGACGCAGCTGATGGGTACCAGCGGTCCAAGCGACATGCGGCTCGGGTGGTCGCTGAGGCAAAAATTCAGACATGGGAGGAGTTCGGAGAAGCCATGGAGAATGACTTCCGCACGGCTTCGAGGCAATTCTGGTCCACCATCTGGCTTCTCGGGGGGGCGTATGCCACCAACACTGTTAATAGTGGGAGTGGTGTGCTGCTGACCTCAACTCGGGATGCTGTGGGTCGGTGGGCGGAATACTTTAAAGACCTCCTCAATCCCAACGGCACGTCTTCCACTGAGGATGTGGAGCCTGGGGACTCTGGGTCGGGCCCTCCAATCTCTGGTGCTGAGGTCACTGAGCTGGTCAAAAAGCTTCTCGGTGGCAGGGCCCCAGGGGTGGATGAGATTCGCCCGGAGTTCTTTAAGGCTCTGGATGTTGTATGGTTGTGTTGGCTTACGCGACTCTGCAACATTGCGTGGACATCGGGGGATGGTCCCTTGGATTTGCAGACTGGGGTGGTGGTCCCCCTATTCAAAAAGGGGGACCGTAAAGCGTGTTCCAACTACAGGGGAATCACGCTTTTAAGCCTCCCTGGTAAGGTCTATTCGGGGGTTCTGGAGAGGAGGCTCCGTCGGATAGTCGAACCTCGGATTCAGGAGGAACAGTGCGGTTTTCGTCCTGGCCGTGGAACACTGGACCAGCTCTACACTCTCAGCAGGGTCCTGGAGGGTGCGTGGGAGTTTGCCCAACCTGTCTACATGTGCTTTGTGGACTTGGAGAAGGCGTTCGACCGCGTCCCTCGGAGAACCCTGTGGGGGGTACTCTGGGAGTATGGTGTACCAGGCCCTTTGATACGGGCTGTTAGGTCCCTGTATGACTGGTGTCAGAGCCTGGTCCGCATCGCCGGCAGTAAGTTGGGCTTGTTCCCGGTGAGAGTTGGACTCCGCCAAGGTTGCCCTTTGTCACCGATTCTGTTCATAACTTTTATTGACAGAATTTCTAGGCGCAGCCAAGGTGTTGAGGGGATCCGTTTTGGTGGCTTTAGGATTGCGTCTCTGCTTTTTGCAGATGATGTGGTCTTATTGGCTTCATCAGATCGTGATCTACAGCTTTCGCTGGAGCGGTTCGCTGCTAATAGCGACACGGTCGGGATGAATATCAGTTCCCCCAAATCCGAGGCCATGGTCTTGAGCCGGAAAAGGGTAGAGTGCCCTCTCCGGGTCAGGGAGGAGGTCCTACCCCAAGTGGAGGAGTTCAAGTATCTTGGGGTCTTGTTCACGAATCAGGGAAAAATGGAGCGTGAGATCGATAGGCGGATAGGTGCTGCGTCTGCCGTGAAGCAGGCACTGTACAAGTCTGTCGTGGCGAAGAGAGAGCTGAGTCAAAAAGCGAAGCTCTCAATTTGCTGATCGATCTATGTTCCTACCTTCATCTATGGTCACGAGCTTTGGGTTGTGACCGAAAGAATGAAATCTCGGATACAAGCGGCCGAAAAACATGTCCCTATTAGGGTCAAATTGTATATTTTTCATAAAAAGAAGCATGTAGCAGAGTACTGTATGTTCCAGTTTATAAGCTGCTACTTTTTTCACAGGCTTTGAACCCTGCGGCTTATACAATGCTGTGACTAATTTTTTAATTTTTATTTCATTTTTTAATTTTTGATGGGCTAACAAGCTTTCTGCCACAAAAACATTTAGCTTTGTCACATCCGGACTCTCACTCTTGCCCCTTATCTACAGGGCCAGTTCTTGTAGGACCCTATTGTGCCTTATTTAGGCCGTTTCCGGTGGGACCGGTTTATTTCTGTCTCCACAGTGCCCATAGTTCCCCTTTAGTGGGCGGATCATTAATATCAATGCGCCTTACCAGATGGTGGTGCTAGTGCTACATTAAGCTCTTTACTAACCACCACTTACACGTATGAGAAGAAGAAGAGCTGGAAAAGAACACACAACCAAATTGGATGATATTTCTGTTTTGAACATTCTGCTTTACCTGTGGATTTTTCTCCTTTTTATGTACATATATATATATATATATATATATATATATATATATAGAGAGAGAGATGTATATGTACATATTTATGTATATGTATATATTTATGTATATGTATGTATACACAGGTCCTTCTCAAAAAATTAGCATATTGTGATAAAGGTCATTATTTTCCATAATGTAATGATAAAAATGAAACTTTCATATATTTCAGATTCATTGCACACCAACTGAAATATTTCAGGTCTGTAATTGTTTTAATACTGAGGATTATGGCATACAGCTCATGAAAACCCAAAATGCCTGTCTCAAAAAAATAGCACATCATGAAAAGGTTCTCTAAACAAGCTATTAACCTAACCATCTGAATCAACGATGTAACTTTAAACACCTGCAAAAGATTCTTGAGGCTTTTAAAAACTCCCAGCCTTGTTCATTACTCAAAACCGCAATCATGGGTAAGACTGCCGACCTGACTGCTGTCCAGAAGGCCATCATTGACACCCTCGAGCAAGAGGGTAAGACACAGAAAGAAATTGCTGAACGAATAGGCTGTTCCCAGAGTGCTGTATCAAGGCACCTCAGTGGGAAGTCTGTGGGAAGGGAAAAGTGTGGCAGAAAACGCTGCACAACGAGAAGAGGTGACCGGACCCTGAGGAGGATTGTGGAGAAGGGCCAATTCCAGACCTTGGAGGACCTGCGGAAGCAGTGGACTGAGTCTGGAGTAGACACATCCAAAGCCACCGTGCACAGGCGTGTGCAGGAAATGGGCTACAGTTGCCGCATTCCCCAGGTCAAGCCACTTTTGAACCAGAAACAGCGGCAGAAGCGCCTGACCTGGGCTACAGAGAAGCAGCACTGGACTGTTGCTCAGTGGTCCAAAATACTTTTATTCCGATGAAAGCAAATTTTGCATGTCATTCGGAAATCAAGGTGCCAGAGTCTGGAGGAAGACTGGAGAGAAGGAAATGCCAAAATGCCAGAAGTCCAATGTGAAGCACCCACAGTCAGTGATGGTCTGGGGTGCCATGTCAGCTGCTGATGTTAGTCCACTGTGTTTTATCAAGGGCAGGGTCAATGCAGCTAGCTATCAGGAGATTTTGGAGCACTTCATGCTTCCATCTGCTGAAAAGCTTTATGAAGATTAAGATTTCATTTTTCAGCATGACCTGGCACCTGCTCACAGTGCCAAAACCACTGGTAAATGGTTTACTGACCATGGTATTACTGTGCTCAATTGGCCTGCCAACTCTCCTGACCTGAACCCCATAGAGAACCTGTGGGATATTGT